AGGTTGTAATATTATGAGAAATGAAGAAAAATGTCTCCCAGGCCTCTTTCTCTGCATCTTAATTGTTTTGCACACCTCACTCATGTCCACTTTATCTTTTTTTTCCTAAGCTAAACAATCCCAGTTGTTCTAACTACTCCTCACAGGGCACTTGCCCCATCACCCTGATCATTATAGCTGCACTTTTTCCTGCTCTACCATATCTTTTTTCAGGTGCAGTGATCAGAACTATGCACAATATTCCAAATGTAGCCACACAACAGATTTGGATAAGGGTTTCCTGACACAAGTCCCTTTCATACCGAGTTTGCATTTTCACTGAGTTTTTCATTGCAACCCCTAAAACAAGCACTGCAGCATAATGGGGTAACTGCTTGCCTTACAGAAGCCATTAGAACCAAATGCCCTTTGAACACAAGGGGGAAAAGAAACCAGAAAGCCATCACCTGCTGTGCAAAACCAAGCTAGGACTGGGTACTCTTCCTTTAACAGCAGCTATTAAAAACAACTGTTCTACATGCAGGAAAAGCAGCAGCAGCAGCAAACTTTTACCACCACCTTTTAAAACAGTCTGTTTTAAAGGCATATTATTGTTCTTAATGACCATATGTAAGCTATCCTGGGAGTCTCATCAGATGAAACGGGATAAACATGACTAAAGCAAACAAACAAACAAACAAAAATGGAAAGTATGAGCTCCTTAACCAAACCAAGTAAAAAAAAAACTTTCCCAAATAAACTCTCTAAAATTCAGGCCAAACCCAAAGCAATTCCACTTGCTAAGACTGTTGTAGGATGCTGAAACTGCAAGATTTTTTTCTTGGTGGTGCCACAAACTTAGAACCCAAAAGTAAAAAGCAAAAATGCAGCTCACAAAATTTCTGACTTCTTATTTCTTTTACATTTAACCAACCCAAAGGTGTTGAGCATAAGAAAAATACCCCAAACCATATTAATGTGATATGGTTGCAAAAAGTGAGTTTGGCTCAGTGAGTGGAAAGGGGAAAAATGACTTGATGGTGAAGTTACAGTGTCCATATGCTCAGAGTTCCAATATAAAGTGGAGAAAGGGTTTGCAGACATTCATACCAGGGGTTTTAAATAAGGCCTTTTCATTTAATGTTACGTAAACCCTCTTATGCCGTTTGTAAGGCTTGTAACAGAAGTCAAGTACAGCCTTTTCTTGTTACATTGCCAAAGTGACATGTTACTATTAAGAACATGGGAAGGACCTGAAGGAACCCTGCCCTAAATCATACAATCTATTATTTTACAATCATATATTTAAGGATACGTTTGGGTATCTGGAGAGATGTGTTCAGAACATTCCAGTTATTTCAAAGATGAAGTTTCAATAGTTATACTTTTAGTGGTCCTCTAATATAAAAATTTGTTCAATTTTCTCTGCGCAGCAGATGAAATAAAATACCAAGCTTTTCTAATGAAAAACAAGCAAGTTACAATATCCAAAACCTAGTATGTATTACTTGTGTTCTGCAGACTGCAGGGTTCCAACAGCTCACTTTTCTCTGGTGTTCATTAGCTATTGACCTTTCAAGCTGGTGAGGTAATTCCCCTTAACACTATAAACCATAGGATATCCTCCCCTCTGTTTCATGTTTTGACATTGGAAAAGGTCATAAAAGTGTTCTACGCAGTTCTAGTCACAGCTTAAAATGAAGATAAGAACAATAACCTCTTGACTTGTTTTCCAGGTCCAGTATTTGAAGTCTACACAATAGAATTGTCAAAAGAGGAAAAAAAACCCCAAAACAAATGTAGCCTAGGATTAAACTTTTGTTCAGAGTAATTGACACTAACTACTAACATTTCAAGATAGGCCAATGTTCAACCCAACAGTAACCATCTACTTCCTGACTTAAAGGGCATGCAAAAATAGACCCATTATATACCGTTGTCTCAAAAACAGCTCACACTTGTTTAGGCGGAATTCAGAAAATGTCAGCTTTGGGTGCTAATCATGATCAATAATTGCTACACATTGTTTGTAAAAAGGCTTTACATATTTTTGTTTTCATTTAAAATTCTGTAAGAAAAATAGTTTTAAACAAACTAATTGAGGGAACTTCAAAGGAATATGTGCAGTGACTGAAACTAAAAAGACTGGAAACAATTCTGGCATTCCTTTTGTGATATGTTAGGATATTTAATATAGGGAAAAAATCTTGTTTTATTTTCTACCCTGATTGGTGGTAAAGTTATTTATCTTCATCCTTATTTGCTCAAATAGCTGTAAATTTACTGGTGAATGTGACTCTTTGTATGAGGCTGGGTGTCACAGATACTTACTCATGCAGAGCTGTAAGAATGATTACTCCAATATATCCCACTAAACTCAACAGAACTTACAACCTGGTAAGAATCTTAGCATCACATACTTAATGTTGAAAAACATCATTCTTCAACTAAGAATCGTAAGTATATGAAGGTCTTCCTTCTCACTTTACTAGCATGGCAACTATTGCAATGAGTCCTTCTCACAATGTCAGGTACTGTAAAACAGAAAAGCCACTAGGCTACTCATGTTACCAAAGGCACACTAAAGTGATGTGCTGTAGCATCTCCAACACTGCTAACATAGTAAAGAAGCCTAATTTGTCTGGAAATGATAAACAACCAATGAACTTGCTCCTCGTATGAACATTGCCACTGTAACAAACGCTAAAAATATGAACCTTGCCTTGATCAGAAATAGGCAAAAGCCATTTGTAAATAACAAGCATGCTGGTTCGTACAAATGGATAAGAAATGCAAATCAAGCATATGGATATATTCAGAGGTTTAGACAGAAACAATGCAGAGTAAAGACAAACTAAATGAGTAACACAGTCACAATTCACTTGAGTGATCGATACAAGCAACAATAAAGGGTTTCACCCCAGCAGTATTGATGATGTTTGACTTTTCCAAGCATTGGGCTTATGACCGCCCTATTATAGGGCTATGTAATGATCTTTAATGGAACACCATTTAATTTTTTCTACTGGCATTATAAATTATTTTAAGCCTGCTGTCATAGCACATTTCCTCTAAAACACCAAGATTTTACAGTGCTAGCCAAAAGAACAATTTTATAACAGTTTTCGCATTTTAGGAGGAATTTTTATTCTACTTTACTGAAATAATTCCATTCAATAAACACTATTTTTTTTTAAAAAAGCAGATAATTGCACTTAACAGCAATAGCTATTTTACATAATAAACACATCTGCATTTATTAAAATATACTCAAATTCTAGACCATCATCACTAAAGTGGTGTTAATTATGCTAGATGATTAGATGACACTTGTTAGTGTGAAAAATGAGGCATATTCAGGATGCTGTCAAAACAAATAACATTTAGCTTCTCTCCTCTCAGACTTCATTAGCAAGATGCATGAAAACTTAAAAGTTATTTCCTTACTTTATGTGCAAAATGTAAATATGAAATCCTTAATTGCTCCACATCTGTCAACAATAAAGAATCGGTACACTTCGTGATGGTTAGGTTTTTAATACAAAATTAAGATTCTAAGAAATGATATGATTTAATAACACAATTCTAAATGTGAAGAAAAATATATGGGACACTTAACTCTATCTCCATCTTATGGTTGTAAAAGGAACATTCATTATGAAAGAGACAAGAAATTTATAAAAGGCAAAGTATCTGAAATTAGGGCTGTTCCTTCAAATTAAGATAGTGATCATAACACATTTGCAATGTTTTTAAAAAATATTTCAGACATTTTGATACAAATGAAAAACTTGAATTTAGTCCCTAATAGAAGGGAACCTATTCATGCACTTAAGGCAAAATTCTATTGATTGTACCCTTGTTGCTCAGAGGGTTAGGAGTATCCAACACAGTGAGAAGAACAGCAAAGCCATCTCTGCCTCCCCACACCCCCCACTCAACATTTTAGCTAGACTGCTGTTTTCAGCTGCCTGGCTGAGCAGCTTTGGACGAGGAAGGAATAATGCTGAAGTGCATTCACAATGCATGAAATCTTGGTGGCCAGTCTCTTCCAATCATTCTGGAACATTTGCTTTACTGTCTCTCCTGTCACTCTGTCAACCCTAAAGAGGCCACCACTATGGTTTTTGCTGTACAGACTACAGTGCAGAGAAACTGATGATGCCCAGGGGCCATAAAATTGCTCTCCCCTCATCTTTATAAGCAAATATATGCAAGCACGTCAGGAAGTGACACGCCAAGGTTTAGAAAGTGTGTTGTTTCTAATTCTCTTTCAAAAAAAACCCCACACACATACATTGGTAAGGTTTTCTGCTTATTCCTTGGAATAGTTTGAATGTAATGGTTTATAATAGTCATTCAAGTAAGTATGAAGAGATCAAAGGTAAAAGGATGTGGCTTGGGTACTATTAGCTGTGAAAGGAAGAATATGGAATGAAATATTCTGTATTTCCTGCATAAAAGGAAGACAACAGACTTGCCATTTCTTCCAAAACTGAAAACAGAAGGGGGAAAATTTCTTCAGGCTTTTCCATTCCTTTAGCCATCTCCAAAACCATTAGCTAGCAAAGGAAAAGAAGGGATGTTCTAGTGTATTCCTTTTCCTTTCCTAGGAACTGCTGCTGTAACTGGCCATGGAAAAAAATTAGCTCTTAACATACCCACTACTGTATCTGTAAAAACCACAAGCAATTAATACATGAAGAACGGGTTCTGGAAAAGCATTATTGCAACAAAACATTCCGGAACATTTATTTTCATATTCTGTTTACATAATGTTGTGAATGCCCCATTTCCCATTATGGGTCTCTTACATTAAGAATCTGTTAAACAGCAATTTTATTAATTTGTGATATTAGTTAAAATAAACTCAGAAGTTTAAAAAGTCTTATAAGCAACTGAATAAATGAATATTTATAGCATGCTCTGCTGATAAATATTATCTGAGAAAGAAATACTTTGCATTTATAAAAGAATATTATAGGAAAGAATTTATTGTGAATTCCAATTAAGCTAAAAGTTATAGCAACTTTCACAGAAGATACCTTACATAATTATTATCAAAAGAGATAGCATTTGTAATTAATTTTAAAATTTGCATTTCAATCACTGGTATTAATCATGTACATCAGCCCTATTACATTACTTTATTCAAAGAATATGTAATAACTTGTGTAGTATAACCATTCCTGAAAATTATCTAATGTGAGAGCACAGATATACAAAATTCAGACATGTGAACTTCAGCACATAGAAGATCCTTTGAAAACTTAACACAATTCACAAAATAAGCCAGGGTTGAAACAATGATTCTTGACTTTAGCCTCGGCTCTTCTTTAAAATTATCTGGGGAGTAGAAACAAACACAGCTTTCAGATATATAATCCAGTTATTTCAAAAAAAGAGAACCATATTTAATATCTGATTATTAGTATTGTTATTTTTATCACCACTAACACTGCATTTATATCACATTTCTTTCCTTCTTGCAGGGAACCCATAGTTACGGAGTTATCTTCCACTCCTTTTTTCTTTGCAACAATAACCATCTGGGGGTTGAGTAGGCTGAGAGTGCGAGACTGGCCCAAAATCACCCAGTGAGCTTCATGACCTCATGGGGGCTAGTATCAGGATCTCCCAGGACCCAGTCCAGCACGCTAACCACCACACATATGATTTGAAGAGGCCTTGATCTAAACCACCACAGAATCAACTAAACTGATTGCATAATGACCTTGTACATACTTATCTAAACCATTTTTGTCTTTCCCTTTAGTCCTTTTCCTTTTGCCTCTTTTAGAATACTTGAGTAGGAAATACCTCTCTAAAATAATATTTGTATATGACCAAGACACAAAGCACAAGGCAATTAGTTCCTGTCCCCAGACTGTCTTCCACCACTAAACTCAAATGTGCTAGGATGTGCACGAGATACACAGAATACCAGCTTAAATTCCCTTTGTCCATTTAAGTATCGTCAAGGACAACCACATTATAAGTCTTCCCTGTGGTGGCACCTCTGCCTCAGTTTAGACCTTGTTCAGAGAGCTCCATAACAAGCTTCCTTGTGACTTTTCTACAGCCACCAGCAAAGATCACCCACCCTCCTCTGTCAGTTGCTCCATCTATTTTTATCATCCAGTCTCCTGCTACAGGTGGATATTTTTCTGACTGGGAAAAAAGGATGCACAGCAAGGAAAATTGAATTGTTTAACTTATCTGTTGCAAACATTGTTCAGTATCTCATGTGGAAATAAATTGCTAAAATGCCCTTATGCATTTATTGCCTTAACACAGTACCTATATAGGATAGAAAAGGATTGACTTGGCATATAGATTAAGCTGCATTAAAGTTAGTGTGGAATTAATTCAGAATGACATACTCAACAACTGTCTAGTACAGCCTGAGAACTTCTATGCTTGAAAATCATTTATATGCACTCATTCTCCCTCTGAGCAAATATAAAAAAGTTTCACTCCTACATTCTGTAAATATTTCTATAGCCTAGTCTTTATTTTGGAACCATGCCTTTGTGCTTTTATGTGCAGATTTGAGATGAGCTGAACATATTTTATGTAAGAAACAGTTTCCATACCATTTTACCATCTTATACTAACCCATGACTATGTACCATTCTAATAAGAGAAAACAAGGTGATAATTTTTATAGCTGTGCATAAAAAATGAAGTTATAATTGCATAATTAGGGCCAGGAAAACAAATTTGTTGGTAAGTTATGTAACTTTGTAGAAAGAAAGGTGATAGACCAACTTCCACAACCTGGTGACCCCAGATATTTTATGCTGACCAGAAGTGGTAAGAGTTGAGCCTCTGCAAAGCACCAGGTTTGAAAAGTCTAGAATAGAATAGAATTTCAGTTTTTATGATGGCTCTTGAAATGTCTATGTAGTAAAAATTTATATTCTATCAGTGTTAATTTTTGTAATGCTGAATTATTGCAATGGCCTGTTCCATCATTTAAATCTGATTCATTTATCTGAATACACAACTACGATTTGTACCTAAATATTTTAAGTCATTCCCAATGCCGTTATATAACTCTGCTTTTTCTTTGTAGTACCACAGATGCTATAGCTGTGGATTATGTGATTATGGAATACACTCCCCAGAGAGGTTCACCCAGCACCGACACTTTATTTATTTCAGCGTCAGACAAAAATGTTTTTATTTTCCCTTAATGTCTAGTCGGTTTTAACTGGGTTTTTTTCCTTGAGTAGCCAGATGCTGTGCTTGTTTTATTTGTTCTTTAGTGTAAGCTGTCCTGAGACGTCAGTGGTGGATGGGGTAGAAAAGTTTTAAATAAATAAAAAATTGCTGCACATAACAGCAGACAAATCAATTGTACCTTACATTCCCCTGACATTTAATTAAAAAGTTTATGCAGTTTAACATTATAGTAAGTAAACAGTATTCAATAAGAATTGCAGCTTTCACCTGCTATTACCTTTGCTGAAGAGAAAACATGTTCATACTTAATGGTTTTGCTTTTCTCTGAAATAGCTTTGGTCCTGGCTTCTTCAGCTAATCGATGCAGAAACAGTAAGAAGTTCAAATGTACCTTTAAAAGAATAGCTTGTTACTGATAACGAAATCTTCCAAAGAAAAGCTTAAAAAATAACTTATGAAATACTCTATAAAATGTTCATTAATATTTCCACTAAAGATACATTTTCAGACTTTTAGTGAACAATCCTGTGATCCCTAGACATTGTGTGAGGGCAAGCCAATCTCAGAAACCAGAGCTCTGACTTCCACTAACCTTGCACAGAAAGAACTATAGCAGCTGCTCTCCAAGACTGGCAAAATAGCCTTAGAGAACAGTTAAAAGGGGCATTTTGGTGGGTGTGCTATCCTGAAGCCATTCCAGTCTCCTTCCCAATCTGAGACAGCCCAGGTAGACACAGACAAAAGGTTGTCTAGTGAAAATGCAGAATACAAACATGGAGAGGCAAAGATATCTTCCACTACTCTTCCTGGTCTGCATTCGATGCCTCTAAGCCTCCAAATTCAGGGGCTTATGGGCATTCCAACAGGGTAACACACTTAATTATGTAACTATCCACAACCAATTATGAGCAGAATCCAGTGGTGTCATTCTGCAAACTCAAACAGAACAAGAAGAGGCCCATCATTTTTTTCTGTGTAAGTGCAACACATTAGATTCTCCTCTGGAGCATAGTCTGGAACCAATTCTCTGCTAGTGCATCATGTACACCAGTGAAATGACAAAGTTGGATGTATTTCCTAAATTTACACTTCTTAAGTGTCATAATCTACATTTCTAGACCAGCGTAATTGTTCCTCTATTACATTTGTTGCTTCTTATCGGTAAATCTTATTTCAAAAGCATCATGACTATTTTTAATACAACTTTGCAATAGCCTCAGTCACAAGCACTCCAGGGAGAAAAAGTTGCAAGAAAAGGTAATTTTACTACACTGCTTTGCTTTTGTATTCACCCCCACCCTTTCATTTTTCCACATCTTGTTCTGTTGCAACCTGGAACTGAAAAGCATCTCATTAGCATTGTTACCACTTAGTATACACAAGATACTCAAAACTGTGAAGGTGCACAAAGCCTACATAAACAAAACCAAACTGGCACTTGTTGGTTGCGTAACATTTTTAACACTGTAACATTGTGCAACTTGCTGTGACATGTCTAAACAAGCTCTGGTGCAACCCACTGCCTCCAGATGTCAGTGCAAGTAGCTGAATAGAGTTCACCTCTGCACAATTCCAGTGCCACATGAACTGAGATTAAAGACAACTGTTTCTGGAAGGCCCCAGATTTTGTTGGAGAACATGTCTAAACCAACAATATCATGAAGACCAAGGGGCAATCAAAAGAGCACTGGAATAAAATTGTGCAGAATAAGTTACAAGTTACTTTAAAAAACCTGAACTATGAACATCCTTTGGAGCACGGTTAAATCCATTATTACAGAACAGAAAGAATTTGGCTCAACTGTGACTTTGTTTAGAGAAGGTCATCCACTAAAATCCTGTGTCAGGGGAAGGAGTGCATTAGTCAGAGAAGAAATGAAGAGGCTGATAGTAACTCTGAAGGAGCTGGAAAGATCCACAGTTGAGATGGGAGAAACCAGCCATGTGACAGCTATCACCTGGACACTCCACAGAGCTAGAAGAGATGACACTTCTGAAAGAAGCCCATTTGGAGTTTCAAAAGAGAAGTGTGGGAGTAATAACATGTCAAAACAGAACATTTTGGCATTGCTCCAAAATGCGATGTGTGGCACAAGGCCAAGAGTGCTCATTGCCCTGAAAATACCATCCCCAAAGTGAAGCATGGTGGTGGCAGCATCATATTGTGGGTATGCTTTTCTTCAATAGGGACCGGAAAAGTAAAAGGGCAGGTTAAGTTAGAAGAATAGAGAGATGAATTAGTAAGCACTTTGAAACTACAAGTAGGAAGGTAGCCAGTCTCCACCCAAACCAATCCTTCACCAGGTACTAAATAAGAGGATGAACAGAGGGAGTTCATACTCACACAGTTTAAGAGGAAACAAAAGATTAACATATTAACTAGGCCAGCTAAGAAGACAAAGGATCCAGCAGTTTGTAAGTAACACTTTTCTGGACTTTCTTCCAAATAAAGCAATCCTGGAGCAAGTGGCTGTGATCTCATGCCAGAATGCTTATAAAGATCACTATAGTTCACTAATCTATGGTGAGCATACCAACTTGTCTGCTCATCAAAACCTGATAGCCTTCAGTTACATCCAGTTGTGTTTTCTACATAGTGGAGAGCTAAGAGATGGAGAACGTTGCTGTGATTTTCAAGACTTGTCTCCTTCAGTAGTTTTCCCACCCATGTCTTTTATTGAGTTTTTGAATTACTGTTTCCTAAAGTTGTGTGCATGAGATTATACTTCTGCTATGACTTGGCGTTTCCAAGATTCAATTCTCCACTATCACTTCTGGGGGCGGGTGGCATTTTTGTAACATAAGGATCCACACAATGTGAGCAAGAGTGCTTTACTGGTACAAAGGAGGACTCAAAAAGAGGAGTTGAGAAAAGGAGTAGTTCAAATTAGTCCTACTTGGAGCAGGCTCCACTGAATGGAACTAAAGGTAGGCTAATACTAGAAAGAAAAATAAGATATATAAGTTACAGAGCAAAATGCAGAGTTACTTTGTAGAGGTTAAGAGAGCTGGACTGGGACTCAAGTGACCTGGATTCTATTTCCCACTCAGCCATGTAACTCATTGGGTGACTCTGGGCCAGTCAGACTCAGTCCAATGTACCTCAAAGGGTTGTTGAAAGATTGAATTATGGAGAATTATGTAAACATCCTTGACTTCCTTGAAAGGAAAAAAGGAGGAATATAAAGACAATAAAAATAATAAATAAAATGGAAAACAGACCCTCTGGTACCAGAAGCAGCATGCCTTGATGCGTGCGTAGCGAGGGCAAAAGCGACCGAAGGCTTTTGCTACCGCTGCCCTCTTCTGCAAGCAAGGCCCTGGTCTTCCCTCCTGCGGTTACGGTTTCAACGGCGCAGTAAGCCGGCTTTGCCCTGGCATTACAGAGCTCCATGGAGTCCGCAGGGCGACCCGCCCCGTTCGCTAGCCAGCCAGCCAGCCGCCCCTCCCTCCGGCCCCCTCTCACCAGGAGGTCGGTGTTGGCGCCGAGGCGGAGATGGGGCTTGTGCTTCTTCACCACGCGCTTCAGGGTGCTGCGCGGCACCGTGCGCTTCATCGCGGCCGCGAGGAGGCAGCGGCCCCCGGCAGCCGGCCCAGAGCCCGCGCGCCCAACGGCTCGGCCCTGCAGTCCTGTCGGCGCGCCTGCCCACGCAGGGTTCGAATCGACCGCCGCTGCGTGTCACGTCACAGCGGCTGCCTTTACGTCATCCCGCTGCTCAGCCCCTCCCTCGCTATTTGCTGGCCGGGGAAGGGAGGTGCTACCGGCACGGTCGTCGTTCGCTGCGGGCTGAGTGATGGGGGAGGCGGCCGCTGGTTAATCGGAGCCGCCGCTCGGGAGCGGGTTTTCTTCACGCAGCCCTCCCCATGTACCTCTGAGAGTGTGTAAACACGTATGTATCTACTTAGAGAGCAATAATGCTTCATTCCCATTTTGGAATCCGGTGACAAGGAAAAGCCAGGAAGAGTCCACTGGGCGTGCACGATCTAAAGAACATGTACGGTTTCTTCTGACATAAAGGGAATATATGCAGCATGTAGGCAGCCCCGAGGACAAGATGTGTTTATAACCTATTCGTTACACAGTTTTGGTGGAGGGATCATGCAGGCACTTTGGTATAGGCACATGAGAGTAAAACAGTAGGCTTGAATGGATTAAGATACACAACACAAAAAGAATAGGACAAGCAAGCAGTTCACATGTCTAAAGGTGTATGTGGGAAGCAAGACTTGCAACATGGATTCCTGATCAGATCAGGAATAGTCTAGTCTAAAGCTGGCTGTTAAGTCTAATAGTCACCTTAAGTCTAGTCTAAAGCTGTTCTGAAAGAATCCGGCTTTTCGCAGCCATGTTATGGCAGAGCTTTCTCATTCTGCCCTGACACCAGCCAAGAGGAAGACTACAGCAAATGCATGTTTTGGCTTTAAATGGTCACTCAGGATTCTTGGGTGTTTGCATCTGCTTCTTTTTTATTCTCGCCTTGCCACCTTTCCTTCCTGGATTCTGCTTTTGTGGTATGACTCACAGGACACCTGAATGGCATGGGCATAGCCACTGCTCCCTGGGGGAGACCAACTGTCGCTTGGCTGCCACAGCCCGTCCATCTCTAGTGTGGGGGGCTACCTTGGGCCAGATGGGAGTTGCATTCCTGTGTCTTAGTTACCTAGAGTTAGTTCCGTTGTACTCAGTGTGTATGGAGTTGCTTGTGCTGGGAAGGAAACAGCCCCAAGGCCAATTTAGGAAGAAAATACAAGAGCAGTGGGCAACTGCAGGATTATTATATTTGTTGCACAGCAGCATGAAAGTGACCATCTAAAACAAAAAAAACCTGATACATGCAGGCTAGGTTGAGATTTTTAAAAAATCAGTAGTAATATTAGGAGGGCCAAAATAATACACAAGTTAGGGTGGAATTCTTGCACATTTAGATGAAAAAACTACAAATCCTAGTATTTCTCAGCATGACTGACTGGGGAATTCTAGGAATTGGAGGATTTTTTCAGTCTAAACTTGGATAGGTTCACATCTTTCAAAAGCTGTATGTATGTTTTCATATGGTCCCAGGCATAAGCACTTCTATTCTTGAACTGAAGGCAGGAGACTTTTTCTTTCTGCACATATAAACTATGTAGAGATGTGCTGGGTTCTTGCTTCGGCACTCATTTCTGTAGCCAGCAGTTGTTCCTGCAGCTTTTCCAGTGCCTCTGAGCTTGGCCATGGGCCTTGCCTGGGGGCTTAGAGCAGTCTTATGCAATCACAGTCAAAGCTGAGCAGCAGCTTTTTGTGTACGACTATAGAACCTGAATTTTAAAACTCCTAGGGAGAACAGCACTGCCTCTCCTGCTGCCACCCCTATGTAGTCCTCTATCTCCTTGGGAAAGTAAGTTCTGATAATTAGGAATCTGCTGCTATGAAAACTGCATTGTCATCTCTAGCCCAGCTCACCAAGTGGAAGTTTGAATGAGGTCACAGGAGACTTAATGTGCTGTGATGTTTGCATTCATTTACCAAATATACAACTTGAGCACACGTGGAGGTTCACAAGCATTTATATCCTACATGTATAGTTTCCCTATCAGATTTCTAGGGGAAACACCAGCACAATGTGATTCTTTCAGAGTGCAACTTAGTTATTTGTGTCCCTTCCATTAGAACTTCTAGACAGATGTGTGTGTGTGTGTCCTTTTGTTTGAGGCTTGCACATGGAATTGCTTACATACCTGTGGGTTATGGAAAAAGAAAGATTAGCCAGCTCTGTCCTTCATGTATGCTTCTTAGGCCATCTTAACTCCTACTGAGACACATCATCTTGTTTGTGAAGCAGCCAGAGACCATGGACTCTTGGGCATTATAGAACTCTAGTGTATAAATAAAGGCTAACCTAATAGCTGTAGCTATCTTATGATATCTTATAAGTCAAGCACAGAGCTGAAAGTGATCATCTCGACTCTCCCTGTATTTACAGCAATAGAAGTAATCCTGTTGGCTCTTGCATATTGACTGATAGATGGTCAGGTTCCTTTACTATAACCTGTTCTGAGATTTTTAACAATGCACACTGGTGCAGGTATATCCTTTGGAACTATGGGAATCTATATTGCATTGCTATTCCATAGAATCGGGTGTCAGACTTGGTAGTCAATGCATGACATTATCACTTTTTAAAACAACCTTGAAAGAAAATGCAAATTCCCACACAGATACTAGACCTGCACTTTCAGAGCGCAGTCAATCAAGCTACATAAGCACGGATTGGTTGCTTTTAAAAGTAACTCCTAAAGCTGTGCTTTCTTGCTTCTGCAGCTCATATATATGCCATACAGTCATACTGCTGAATTCTTGGAAGGCTGAACTGGATTATGTTAATTAGCATCCAAACAAGCTCCTGCCAGGAGCTGTGCTTTGATCTAGCAGCTTGGTACTTGAAAGATTTGGTATGTTCCTCTCCTTAATAGTCAACGTCTTTGTTATTGTTGTTTTGAAAAAACCACAGAGAAATAAATATGCCATAGTATTTGAATACTATGGTGCATTTACTGTGCAACTGTTTTGGAAATGGTCTGAAAGCTTCACAACTAGCCCAAACGGGTCACAAGATTGTTAGGCCAGTGCTTTGCTGTCTGAAGTGGCTTTCAATCCATTCTCAAGCCCAACAAAGTGCTGGTGTTAACCTTTAAAGCCTAAATTGCTCAGGAGCAAGTTCCCAATATACCTGCCCAGACCTAAGATCACCTTCAAAGATGCTTTTCCAGGTGCTAGTGGCCGTTAGAGAAAGTGATAGTGTCCTTGTTACAGAATGTGCTCTCCAGAGAGGTTCACTTTGTACGAAGTTGATATCTTTTGGGAAAAGATCAGTCTCCATGCTCTCACTGCATGCAAACCTCTGAACTCAGTGGCTTATGTACATCTTATGTGTGGTGCAAAGCAGGACAGTGATGGCCTCTGCCACTCCCATACCCCATGCTGTGTATTTTATTTAGGCAGCCAGATAAAGTGTCAGGGAAGGAGCATGCAAGAGGCTGAGATGCCTTTAGGGATCAGTGGAAGGCCCCAGGCCCAGCCTCCTCCCCTACTCACCCTCTAGCTTGCCTTTTTTTGTGACATTGGGAGAGGCAGCCAAAACAGTTTCCAAGCCATGGGGGCAGGGCAGCTTCTTGGCCTTCTGGGCTGCAGCTCCAACATCACAGGATCTTGAAGATGGGACTCAGTTGTGGTGATGGGGAGGGGAGCAGCATATAGTGGATTCTGAGGAAGGAGGAAATTGGGCCCTGAACCTGAAGAATTATCCAGCACAATTTAAATGGAGAAAAAGTGGCTAGTGTATAATAACTTGCAGAATAGAACTTTTACAGAGAAGTCTGAAGAGCACAGAAAGGCTTATGGGTTGACAGCACTTAATGCGTCTCTGTTACAAATTGCAAGTGTATGTATATGTATGCCCTGTATATTGGCATATTTTTGTTAGAATTTGGACCAATTCAGTCTCTGCAGCTTGGGATGATTCTATTCATATGCTGTCTGCTTAAGGTGCTTGCTTTAGTCTTTCCCATTGCTTTCAGAGCAGCTTTCACTTCTCTTTCTAATATTGCAGGTTCTTCCTCACTGGATTCCTCTTTGAAGGAGCCTGCCATCCTTTATCTCTTCTGTATAGTTCTTCCATATACTGTTTCCTCTTTTTATCCTGATCAGATATATGTTCCCAGCATCCCTAATCTAGGTTTGAATTTCCCTTTGCTTGCTTAAGATCTTATGGAAGAGGTCTCCTGGTTTTTTTCCCCACTTATTCTCCTCTATTTCTTTGCACTGGACACGGTAATAGTGTGTTTCGCTCTCACACAGCCAACTGCTGCTGAAAAGTTTCATTTAGGTTCTGTCCCCATTTCTGTCCCCAAAGAAACAAAGTTTCTTTGTTTCTGTTTTCAATAATTGTGTTTTCTGGCATCCATGTACCCGCCCTTTGTCTTTTTGCATTGTTCCCTACTGATGTCACTGCCTCAGTCCACAGTTCTTCTGGTTCACAGTCAGGTATGATAAATCTGTTCTTTACGCAGGCTTTTCATTCCTCAGGAGTGATATTTAAAATTAAGAGTTTGTGGTCACTAGCACAATCTTCTGGTCTTGGTTTGGCAGGAAGAATAGAACTGTTCCATCTTCTCTACTTCCAGTTACATAATCTACTTGATTTATGTATTGGATGTCTATTGATGTCCATGTGTTTGATCATCTGCCTGGTCACCTGAAATCTATATATAATTGTGATAAACAGTTGGTTAGCTTCAGAGAATTCTGTGAGTTATTCTGCTTTTCTGACTCCTGTCGAATTCTCCCATGCCATTTGATTCTGCTTCCCCTCTCCCCGTTTGCATTCCAGTTACCTATGATTATCGGCATGTCTTGCTTTGATGTGTTAGCAATTTCTTCTAGGACACACGCATAATTGTTTTTGATTGATTCTTTGGCATCTGTTGTTGGAGTGCAGACTTGAATGATAGTTATATTGGTAGGTCTTCTGAGAATTCTGATTGATAATATTCGGTTGGACTTCGTGTTATGCCCTA